AATCATGGCACTCGGGCCCTAGTGACAAGCATTAAGCATGGCAAAGTCCTAGCAACATCAATCTTAGAACATAATGGATACTAGGGATCAAACCCGAACAAAACTAACTCGATTACATGGTAAATCTCATCCAACCCATCATCGTCTAGCAAGCCTACGATGGGATTACGCACGCATGGCAGTGAGCATCATGAAATTGGTTATGGAGGATGGTTGATGATGATGATGGCGGCGGATTCCCCTCTCCGGAGCCCCGAATGGACTCCAGATCAGGCCTCCCGAGGAAGAATAGGGCTTAGCGTGGCTCCGTATCATAAAACGCAATGAATCCTTCTCTCCTATTTTTTTTCTCCCCGAACGTGAATATATGGAGTTGGAGTTGAGGTCGGTGGAGGTCTAGGGGGCCCACGAGTTAGGAGGGCGCGCCCAGGGGGTAGGGCATGCCCCTCACCCTCGTGGCCAGGGTGTGGGCCCCCTTCAGTTGATTCTTTCACAAATATTTTTTTATTAATTTCAAGAAGTATCTCCGTGAAGTTTCAAGTCATTCCGAGAACTTTTATTTCTGCACAAAAAATAACACCATGGCCATTCTGCTGAAAACAGTGTCACTTCGGGTTAGTTCCATTCAAATCATGCAAATTAGAGTCCAAAACAAGGGCAAAAGAGTGATACGTTGGAGACTTATCATCTGTCACGTCACCCACGGCCACAACCAACCGTTCCGCCAGCAATAACAACCTTCCATCCAAAATTGGCATACATTGGATGGTCGACTTCATCCAACATCAACAAGATTATTAACAAAAACATGCATAGAGGATATTAAATCCTAGTATGAAACGATCCACAACACACTAGGGGTCACCCATATCCCTGAGAACTAAGGGAACTACTCACTCATGAAGGCAACAAACATCATAACAATGGTGATGGAGAACATGAATGATTCACACATGTTACACAAGTTGTTCCCCTTAGGGTTCCTGAGAATACAATGAGTAAGGTGGGATGATGATGATGACAGTGGTGATGTTTAAGCCTTACTGGTGATAATGGTGGAGGCAGCGGCCTCCTTCATGCCAATTCCTCCCTTCGGATCGCTCCGGAGGCTAGGGTTCCTCCTTTTGGGCGAGTTTCTAATCTCTTTGTGCGTCTGATCCCCGATCCGATTCCACGGGGTGAAAATGATGGACGAGTTGGCGTGATTGGCACTCCATATGTCCGCTCATACAAGAAGTCGCGATCGCATTGTACGACGTATTTTGATCTGGAGGTGGTGCATCGGCTCCTCCTTTGCTCCTCTAGATCCCCTTACTTATGGTAAATGATTATCACATTAAATATGTGATTTCACTACCATTTTTATGAGATTTCTTCCACAATGTAATTTTTGGTCCAACAAGTTTTAGCCGAGGAAAAACGACAAACATAAGTGTCCGAACGTGGTAAAATTTCACAAAGCCTACCGAGTAGGCACAAAAAGTATTAACAAACAAATCTGATAATTTGGACTCATCAGTCACCGAGCCCGTACAATTGCTTGGGGAAATCTCCACAACTTAATTGGAGACCCTGACGCTTGCTCAGAGCATTACACCATAATGATTGAGCACCACAACACCACCAACCATCTAGGGTGCCCAAGCACCCAACAAGAGTCACAATCTCTAGAGTGCCAAAACACCCAAGAGTAATAAGCTTCTCAACTTTCGCTTCCACGTATCACCATGGAGAAGTCAAACAGATGCAATGGCAAGAACAGACGAGGTGCTCAAACCCCACACTATCAAATCCCACCAATGCAACGAAAGCTATGGAGGAATATGGGAGCAAGAACAAGGAGAGCACAAAAGAACTCCAAGATCTAGATCCAAAGGGTTCGCCTCACTTAGAGGAGAGATGGATTGTTGGAAATGTGTATCTGGATCTCCTCACTCTTTCCCCTCAAAAAGAAAGAATCATGGGAGGAATGGAGAGAAAGCAAAACTTTTTGGAGGTCAACCATGGAGGAGAAACCCTGCCAAGAACCATTAGGGGCAATGGGGAAAAAGACCCCTTTATAGTGGGGGTTCAAATCCGACCGTTATGCACTCTGCTCGTGCTCAAGCGGAGTTCCAGTGCCACCCACGGTGTACTGCAGGGCACAAGCACTGTAGTTCCACTGGAGCGGTACTACTGGCTACAGTGAGCGGTACTGTCACTGGATACAGAGGGACCAGCGGCAGTGGAGCGGCACGAGAGCGGAAGTACCACGCAAAACGGTATTACGATGTAACTACCGTCCAACTACTGCGAGAGCAAAATGGGCAACAGAAGATTGCACACTCCTCGAACACAAGCGGAAGTAGCAACAGTAGTAATAGGCGGAATTACCGCACAAGCAAAACTACTGTGCCACTACCGCGAGCTAATAGAGAGTAGAGAGAAGGAAGTTTCCAAGCGGTAGTAGCCGCGGTAGCTCATAGCGGAAGTATTGCCTAAGCGGTACTACCGTGGAGCCACGTGGTACTACTGCTTGGGCTCTGCCAAAGGCCCAAGCACAAATGAGGAAGGCAAGTAAGACCCAAACTTTCATAACTTCTGCAAACTCAAGCTTGTTTGATATTTGACAACAAGCACTATCCAACAGCGAAGATAAACCCAAATCAATACATTTTAGGTTTTTCCTAATTCATTGATCAAAATTTTAAAAAATCCCTTGAAAATTTATTTATCAAAAATATCCATACCATATCTAAATGCTTTCTATACTTGGTTATTATTCAATATTTATGGCTAAGATATTCTCTAAACTAGGATGAAAATAAATTTACAATTATACTAATAATTATTATCAAAAGTTCATCGATTCTGCAAAATATAATCACATTAACCTGTGAACATTTTTTAGATAAATTACCATAACAACAATGAAATGAAACTTTTATAATTTGTAAACACACCGGTTGGTCACTACTAACATATCATCATTAAAAGATTAGTCACCAGTTACTATAACAAGGCAAAAATATCTCCACCTTTAGAGTTTTATTGGTGCAATTTTACGTCGTACGTACACATGACATGTAAATAAAGAGATTTTCACATTCGTGCCTTGTTCAATAGTTTTGCCCTTAGTTTTAAACTATGCTCGGTTTTGCCCCAAAGCAATTGTGTTTGGTTATACAAAAGCCCCTTATGTTTAATTTCCATCTTGTCAAAGACGTTTCACCGTGCGAGTATATGTCATGTTGTTTAGGGCAAAACTGAGCACCCTTTGAAAGTAGGGGCAAAATCGTATGGTGAGCACCGGGTAAGGGCAGAAATGTAAAAATCCATTAATAAATACCTTAATATTTGGTTCTCGTTTATGACCGAAAAAGGGTATGCTTAGTGAAACCCAGTGG